AGTTATCTGCATATTATGTTGTTGTTTATGACGGAACTACTGCTTTAATGTTTGCAGAAACTAATTGAGGATATGTGAGTGCTCTGCAATATTTTTGTTGTTGTTTATGTAGAACTTCAGCTTTATTATTTTGCCAAACTCATGGAGGATATGTGGTTTGTCTGCATATTATGTGTTGTTTATGAAGAACATAAAGCCTTTAATTGTTTGCAAACTCATGGAAGAGATGTGAGTTATTCGCATTTATGTTGTTGTTTATGCGGAACTACAGATTTTAATGTTTGCAACCTCATGGAGGATATGGAGTTCTTCGGACATATTATGTTGTTGTTTAGGTAGGATAATGCTTTAATGTTTGGCAAACTCGTGGTGAATATGTGAGTTCTTCTGCATATTATAATTCTAGAGGCTTGCATATAATGAACATATTGACATGGGTTGCAGGTTGAGTCCTGTTACGGAAACTATAGTTTCAGTCACTTGTTTAACTTGCCGTCCAGCAAGGACATCCACTACTTTAGCCAGGCGACGGAAATAAACTCGCTCTACATAACTCCATGTCAATGTTTCTTAGATACTAGCCAAGTTCACAAGATTTTATCCTGGTGTTTGAGAAGCGATCGTTAGAAACTGCTTCCTTTCCCTTCAGTACTCCCACAGTCCCTCGACGTTGTCGTAACTTGACAGAGAACTTCTTAATACATCATTACTAGGACCGAGTGATTATAAATCAAGAGGCTTGCATATAATGAACATTTTTATGTTGTTGCTTATGTAGAACATACTAATGTTTGGAGATTTTTCACTTGTCTGTAGGACATACGTGTCGATTCCGCACTATTTAATCAAATCAAATAACGGTACACAACTTCGGTACGTGTAACGTGAGTAGCCTCAAACTAACTGCTAAAACGTTTTGAAAGGAAGTTTATAATGCCCGTCTTTATGTATTCACAAGCTGCTTTCATTTTCAAGCACAGGTCGCTCTCAAAATTACGATAATGTAGTATCCTTTACGCTTGAAACCTCCTCCAAGCCCTCCACTGAATTACTTTATCGTTGTATTGGTAGGGGGAATTCGTTCCGTTAAAAAAATAAATAATACCCCACTATTGCCACTATTGCCAATATTACCACCACTAATTACCGTCGGTTGCCTCGTTTGGCTTGAAGCGCTCCCATTTCTCTTTTGTTCAGCGTCGCTTGATTCTACGGCGATTCCATTTTTTTAAAGATAATAAAACTTCACTCTCCCACATTCTCGTTCGACTCTCGTTGAATAATTCAATTTGTTTTTGAAATATGTTGCTAAATTCATAAATTCGAAAATTTTCACAGTTCTGTTCCCTCCGCATACTGTTCCCTGTCGCATACAATACTGATTCCACATAGTCACTCCGTTTCTCGTCGCTCTAGGCGTGTGAACCCTCATTTAGAAGAGGCATTTTCAAGATCCTTCTACTCAGCAAATATTGCATTTAAAATATATGAAAATAACTATATATTACCTTTTATGCGTTACAATATGACTAATGAAATATGTTGCAATTCATAAATTAAAATGTCCACCAGTTCTTTTTCACTCCGCTTCATACTTTTCCCTTCGCATACAATCCACATAGTCACTCGTTTTCGTGCTCTATGCGGTGTGTGCACCCCACATTAATTTGTGACCACCACCGAATGAGCTGTATAAAACCTTTGAACCGGTTAAACCTAGATGTATGGGGGCAAAGAGAGCTCTATATTCAGTGATCGACCGAGGGTCCTCGCCTCAGTTTTACCGAGGAATGACGATTTTTCCTCGGCCTCGGTCAGAAGAATGATTCCTCGGGTTGCCTCGGCCTCGGTTAAAAAGTCGAGTTGCCATTCCTCGACCTCGGCAAAATTTGAAGATTTAAACCGAGGATTTAACGAGGACTTTGTACAAATTTTACCATGAAAAAAAATGCTATAGGCACTTTTAAATCGTAATTTTGGAAAATTGGTACGCAACTTTTGTTTGAAAGCTTAAAATAGACTTGTTAAAGGTTGAAAACTAGTGCAAGATTAAAACACAACTAACTATGTCAATTTTGTACAAAATTTGTACCAAAATCCTTGGCTTCGGTTGAAAAAAATTCAAACCTCGGTTCTCCTCGGCATCGAAGCTGTAAATTACTAATTTACAATATGCTTCCTCGGCCTCGGCCTCGTTCGCTAATCCTGCCCTCGGTCTTCATGACTATAGTGATTAGGGGGCTAACCACGTCTGTTACCTTTTTAATCTTCTTGTCGGTATTTTTTTTAACAGTTTTGAAAATAAATTTCTTAATGTAAACAAATGTTAATATGTTTCTATAAAGACGACATATTGGTGTCGCTGTGTCTTGGTTGAATAAGAAATTGAGGACGTTTTCTCACGGGCATATAATAACTTTTTAATGGTACACTCATTTTCCCTTTCAGTCTCATGAGTAGCTCAAATTTCATTAAATAACTTTAGTAAATACCTTAAGACGTTTCATGTGTAAATAGCTCTAACGTATAACCGCAGGGATGCCTACGCAGAAGCAGTGTGCCCAACCTTGTGACGGATACAGCTGCGAGGAAGTTTCGAGTGCCAATTGATAGATGATGATGAGATGACAGTGACAAGAAGTTCCATCTGTGTTGAGAGCAGACCGGTTGTGGTGTCGATAGTATGTGTTTACACTAAACTAACTAATGACCTACTATATATCCCAATTAAAATTCCCATTTATTAAATTAATTAATTAATTAATTAATTATAATGTGTCCCTTACAGCAAGATGCGCGGATAACGGTGATTGCGTAACATAAAAGGAGCTGATGATGATTTCTGTATCTGCTGTGACGGATACGAATTTGATGAGGATTGCCGGAACTTGCATGCCAGTACAAACTAAATGTTAGTACTTAATTTATTAATTAGTTAATTAACTTTGTTAATTAAATAATCCTTCAATTACATTAGTTATTAATTTGTTGTATATGGCGGTTCAGAGGGGACAGTTACAATTTTATGCATCAGTGATGTTTTCAATGTGAGTACTTTATCACGTGTTACTTTTGTCAAGTGCGTACTTTATCACGTTTTTGCTGATCTCTGCCAAACTTTTCAGACCGATACAGTTTACGGAGATGAAGCTATCGGTGATGATGCTCACAGTGTCGCTACCTGCTCATTGAATGGAGAACGAGTTTTACAGGTTATTATTTCAAAATTTCTTTATTTAAGTAAATACAAACAAAATTATTTTTCTTGGTTTTCATAGATGTGAACGTCATAATATATTACTGCAGCACAAATTTTCAAGCATTTGTTGTTTTTCTTAAATTGCTGTTTATGATGCTGAAAAATTAATACTATTAATAACAATAGTATTAAATCACATATTAATAGTTATTATAAAATTAACGGTGCCACATCCATTAGGAGCGCCAAGTTGGCAAGCCTGATGGAGTACCATTGCCAACACTACGGATGGTACGATGTGAAAGCTAGAGCTTCTCATAGCAAGAAGTTCCCCTGTCAGGGTTAAGTCTAGTGTTGATTTATGTTATTTGTTCTTTTATTAATTAAGTTACTTTTATTTATTTTATTTATTATCTATTAATTAAGTTAGTTGTACTTATTGAAATATTTTATTCGCCAGGCTGTTGGATACTGTGGGGAAGATAACATCTTCACTGGACCATTGTAACAGGAAGACATTACACCACGAGCGGAATACACGGTACTTACTTTATTTTACTTTACTTTAACAGCCTTGCGTTCGAACTGAACACAATTCCCGGAATATTAGCGTAACTTTTAATACTTAATTGTCAGTGTTGATATATGGTATAGGCGTTCGTCATTATTTTGTGTAGGTAAAAATGTTTAAATTAATTTACTGATAATAAAGCGAAGGTCACTTATATACAAATAGTAAACTAATGATAGGGCTAATACTCTAATAATAACTTATGGTAAACTAATGGTAACTAATGCAATGGTAACCTAATGGTAACTAATGGTAACTAATGGTAACTCCTCAACAGGATTGATGCTGGACCTTTCTCCCTCATCAGCTGTCCTGATGGATACTTGATGGAAAGCTGTATCTCCACAGCCCCTGGACACAGGTAATAAATTGACTCATAAAGACGTAATATCTTAACGTGACACGTGTTCACATGTGTTGACCATGTGTTGACCACGTTTCGCACAATTACAATCTAAAGATAAACCTTACATAAACTTACTGATATTTAATTAAATAATTAATTACAACACCTCTATAAGTCTATATATCTGTACCTCCTGGTAACTAATGGTAACTAATGGTAACTAATGGTAACTAATGGTAAACTATAAATGGTAACTAATGGTAACACCTCTCAGGCTATAGTATATTAATATAATTATATATTAATTAATTAATTAATTACAACACCTCTCAGGCGCTTAACTGATGTAAACAGAGCTCGGATTAACAGTATCGCGCTGTCGGTATCAACGATGACGGTTCATGCTCCATGACTGATTGTTTGAAGAATCCTCACGGTCACCAATGGTGCAAACTTACTGCTGTCTGCAAAAAACTGACCGGGTAAGAAAACCTCTCCTATCAATTCTTAAGTTTAATTTAGTTACAAAGCTAACCTCAAAATAACACGACTTATCAAGCTTCAAAGTTGACATTCAGCTGGATAGTTCTCGATTATTGTAAATGTCACTGAATATTAGTGAAGAATGCAGGCGAAGAAGTAATTTCATAATTATATTTTTCTCTTAGCAACTCGAAAGAAACAAGGGTGATCAAGACACCATATTATTAAGTAACTTATATCTACTTGTTTTCAGTTCCATATTATTAAGTTAACTAATATCTACCTGTTTTCAGTTCTGAGTACATGAAGGCAGCATGCCCAACCTGACACCATATTATCAAGTTAACTAATATCTACCTGTTTTCAGTTCTGAGTACATGAAGGCAGCATGCCACCCTGTGACGATGTCAGATGTCCAGATGGTCAGGAATGCGGAATGGTAGAAGATCTGCCACTCTGTCTCCCGAGAGTACCTGGAGGTTGCGATGCAGACAAGTGTGGAGAGAACGGTATGTTTTTGGTTTTGGTTCCGGTTTTAGATATTCATTAAATGGTTACAATTTAATCCAACTTAGCTAGGGAATATATGTTTTGCTCTCATAGGACCATTTCGACTCGAAATGGTGTTTCAAAATCCAAATCCACACTCACCCATTAAGTAATAAGTATCCATAATATTCTGCACCCCTTGAATAAAGTTCTGACAAACCCCACGGCTCTCAGGCGAGTGCAAGGAAGACGGAACCGACTACGAATGCCTCTGTAAGACCGGATACAAGTTCGACAGTGTCACGTGTATCGATATCGACGAGTGTGCTGAGGAACCATGTGGTAACGGGGACTGTACCAACACTGCCGGATCTTACACGTAAGGAAATGCGGTTGAGAGCTGTTGATTGCCTGATTTTTAGAGCTGCCAATTTACCAATTTTACTAATTGTACCACCAGGAATGACACAGCTGATTTTCAGCTATATAACGTTCACTGATCTCGCATTTGATTTTATGACATTTTGTTGTTATAGCCTACATTTCTATTCTTAATATCTGCTATTTCGATTACTATACTAATATAAATCTGAATTCGCTCGTCAATTATAAAATAATTCTCAGTTGTGACTGCAAGAAGGGATACGAAGCTGTAAAGGGAACATGTGAGGATGTTGACGAGTGTGCTGATAGTCCTTGCTCTGAAACTGAGAGGTGTTCCAACATTGAAGGTGTGTAATAAGAGGGTCATTAGAGGGTGATTAGAGGTAATTACAGGGTAATAAGAGAGTTATTACAGGGTAATTACAGGGTAATTACAGGGTAGTTACCGGGTAATTACAGGGTAATTAGTGTAATAAGTGTAAACTACTAACTAAGTTAATAAAAGCGACAGATGACCAGCTATTTTTGTACACTAAGACACCAGTATTAGAAACCAATTAATATAACAGTCATTTTTGATATTTTTCAAGCCCACTTGCTCCAACAAATAAAACATTCAGGAAGCTTCATCTGCGATTGTCTGGATACTTTCATCAGAGTAAAGAAATCTAAGGAATGTGTCTGTGCTGACGGGTTCGAGAACCAGGATGGGTCCTGTGCTGATATTGACGAGTGTGCTTTACCTGATAGCTGTGGAGAAAATGAGGTACGGGGTTTTTCAGACATTGGTCTGTTTTAGTTCATAAAAGTTTTTTGACTTACGTATATTCAGGTCTCATGATGTAGTTTTTCTACGAAAATTTCAACCGGAACCTTGTGTGTTTACTTACTGTGTGCCCAACCAAATAAATTAAAAGGACGGGGTTACTGTTTGTCTTTGGTGGCGTTCATTTTTGCTATTCAATGTGGACGAGCTCAGTTATTATAGGAGATATTTCGAGTGATTAATACATACGTTAAAAATGGTAACATAAAGAATTGTACCAATTTCATAAATACAAGCTTGGATACATGAAAATGGGTTATCAATCGTTAATGAATAATTTGCAATCAACCATTTAATTGTCTTACGGAAGATAATAAATATGCAATAGTTTACCAAACTTATATTACATTGTGTTTCTTAATTTGATTTTGTTATAATATATAATAAATATGTAATAGTTTACCAAACTTATATTACATTGTGTTTCTTAATTTGATTTTGTTAACAAAAAGTTAAATTTACATTACTTCTGCAGGTCTGCACAAACTCAGTCGGAAACTACCAATGTGAATGCAAGGAGGGGACAGAGAAGGGATCTGATGGAGTGTGCAAGGAGTTCCTTCCGCTGGAATGTGATGTTAAGGCAAAGAAGCCAATTGTTAAGGGAATCAAGGGAACCAATGTCAATGTCAAGGTAAGAACTGGCAATTTTTTATAGAATCATGCCTTAATAGTGGAATGAAGCATACTTAGAATAGGTTTGATACCTGTAGAAACACTTGATATTTGGTTAACTTTGAAGCCAAAACATTACTTATATTGATGTATATGACAGATTTAACTAACAAACACAACTTCAGTTGGCCGGTGAAGTTAAGAAGACCTTCAAGAAATACGCCACAATCAAGTGGGAAAAGAACAACGAACCCTGGGATCCTAAATCCGACGGCAAATCTAAATTCAACGGATTCACCATCAGGTAACATCTTGTTTCGGTACTCCTTATTTATTATTATCTTATAACTTTATTCAAATCAAAGATAGAACAAATCGTTTGTATTTACAAACGGAATTTAACTATTATCTAAATCAAATTTCTCCATTCTACTTTTTTAAATCGTTCGTGTGAAACATTAAAAGTAGGACTGCAAAGATTACCTTAACTAATCTATTATGATTTTTTAATTATCTTGAATAATCATGAATGACCCTACAAGATTTTCATCATCACCATTTAAACTTCATCACGCAGGAAGTTTGATGCCGAAGATGCGGGTATTTATGTAGCTTCCATCTACATTGAGAAGGATGGAGAAAGCTTCAAATGTGAGGTCGAGGTCAAGCTTGTCCTTCTAGGTAAGATCAGGCTGTTTTCAAACACAAGGATTTATTTCTTGTCGCAGATTTGCGGATATTTGAATACCGAGGCTTCTCGACTATTTTCAGATTTTTTGCTTTTCTTTAATGATCATTAAGCTATTGATATGTCGTTCAACACTATCAATAGCTTAATAGTTCTCGCTAATATTTGCTATTGGTGGTCCAACACTATATAATCCACTAAACTTGCTTTTTCTGATTCTCATATAAAACAACTTGTTCCTAATTCTATAAAGCAACATTCATTACCAAAAATACATTTCCTCTCTGTAATCAAGGACGGAAAAGATTAAAAAACTTACTTTTTAACATACTTTTTCTTTTTCAGAGGGATCTGTGAAACTGAACATTGCCAATGCTAAACAACTGTCTAAAAAGCAGAAGTCTGGACAACCTCTCACTATCAAGTGTGACGTTGATATTGACAACGTAAGTTTACTGTTTAACGATGTAAAATTGTCAAATGTCTCGACTACTTGGTTATGGTAGATTTTGATATCAACAAAGCCCCAATGACTCAATGACAAAACTAATTTTGGAGGCCTAGTTTTTGGAGAGCACGAGTAAGTAAAGTAGGTAAATTGTGAGCCGGCGGTGCTTCGCCGATAGTAATGCAACAGTAAGTGTGATTAGGGTGAGACTCCCAGCATCCTCGTATTTTCGTCATTGGTCGAGGACAAGGAATACACGTCGAGAGGCTTCGTGCAGAGTGCAGACCAGCGTTTAGTTGAATCGCGTATTTGAAATTCGGGTAATGATCATTATACCACGAAAGCTAACATTTTATATATTCTCAGCTGAAACTGAAAGACCCTAAGAGTCCAGATAACATTAACTGGTACAGAGTAACTGATGACGGTGATGAACTTCTTGATGATAGTGATACTATCAGTATCGAACGAGGAAAAGGTTATTTTTTTGGATACTTTATCCTTTAATTATATTATCTTGAATAATAACATTTTGTAAAATATTGTAATGTTAGTCTAAAAATCGATTGCCAAAAGTTAATTTTTTATATATACTGTTTTTATTCTGGGTTTATTCTGACATACCACTCATAATTCAATGCAATAAGTAACTGGAATATCAATCTTTACCTAAATAATTAGTACAATTAATGTAATTATTAGTGTATAAATCTTAACCTGTGTTTATTTCAGGAACCTACCAAATGATCCTCAAGAACCCGAGCCCCGAAGACAGCGGCACCTACAGATGTGAGTTTGATCAACAAGGAGTGGACACATCTACAGACGTCACTATTGAGTTCAAGTAGATTACTCGCAAGATTGCAGGGCACATGTATAAGGACATGTACAGGTTTTTTTTATTATGGAAATAGATTTTTATGGAAATGGACTGAACTGATTTTTAAATTTTTAGTAAGTTGATATTTGATTTGCGACTTGACTACGATCTGAAGTGATATTTTTGTTGTACAATTTTTATCACACATGCATTCAAAACATATTGTTTTATTTTTTGTTATGTATAAAAAATAAAAACAAGAAATAACTTAAATTAGAGATTCATCCAATTCATCTGGAAAGCAGAAATATTTGGCCGCCCCAAGAAAGAGGGACACTGTTTATACTTCAAAGTGTAAGCCCGGGAAGGAACACTACCAGAAAAGCAGGAAGGAACACTATTCACTATAATAATAGTATATTATCGAGATGTGTTGTATTTGTCCACAAAAATACCATTACTACTACCAAATCAAATGATGGAATAGTTCGCTGTTTATTAGTCTCATGATTGGAATACTGATAGTTGGATAATATCCGGTTGGAAGAGACAAGGACAAATGAAGCAGCCTACATTCCTAACTTCCTGTTTCATTTGTCCTTGTCTCTTCCCACCGGATATTATCCAACTATCAGAACTACCAAATCGTTAAGACTCCGAGCTAGACTTACCTCTCCAGTCGCCGTGTTACCAGGGGACCCCAGGCTTATAGCGTTATTATACCTGTACATGGTTGTAGAATCTTTTGCTTGACAGGATCCTATGGTTGACCTCCAGCTAACCGTTTTTGAAATTACAGATAATTGAAGATCTCCAAGGGCTGTAGGATCTTCTGCTTGACAGAATCCCGTTGAAAATATTTGAATTCACTTTAAAATGGCTCTTCCTGATCCAGTTTCAACCATAAATTAGACACAAAGCTCATTTGCAGAAATAAAATGTTATACGACAAAGCATTAAAAAGTGTTGGGTTAGCACTTATCCATGCTAATATTGGAGCCCAATTACTCAATGATAATCTGAACTGTTCTCACCAGTCACCACTGCACAATTGTAATTTTTATTTTGAAACCAATCTAACACGTTTGTCAATACGTCACATAATTATTTTAAACAACAGTTAAAAGTCGTGCTTTTATTAATGTTCTAGATACTAAAATATCAGCATAATTCAATAATCCAATAAAAGTTCCAATTAATCTAAAATAACATAGCATTATAATCAATATTTTGATTCAGATGTATAAATTTTCCGTTATGTAGACGATATGTTTTTATTGTCTTCTTTTTTTTTGTTTTCATTTTTTTGTTGTTTTATATTCATAATATATTATTATATTACATAATAACGATACTAGTGTCTAGTAATATCTTATTCAAAATCAACCTTGCGATCTATGGTCTTCCAATTAGTTATACAACAAAGTTTGTGGAATTTGTATGATATTATGAATAAGTTATTACGTAAAACCACTCATAATTTAACATTACTATCATCACTTTACTAATTACAGATAAGTTTCTAAAGATAAGTGATAGAAACTATATCATATCAATATCAGCGTATAATGTACTTAGTATACTTAATGTAATTAATGTACTTAGTATACTTAATGTACTTAATGTACTTAATGTACTTAATGTAATTAATGTACTTAATGTACTTAATGTAATTAATGTACTTAATGTACTTAATGTACTTAATATAATTAATATACTTAATGTACTTAATGTACTTAATGTACTTAATGTACTTAATGTACTTAATGTACTTAATGTTATTAATGTACTTAATGTACTTAATGTACTTAATGTACTTAATGTACTTAATGTACTTAATGTACTTAATGTACTTAATAAGCTTAATGTACTTAATGTGCTTAATGTACTTAATTTACTTAATGTACTTAATGTGCTTAATGTACTTAATGTGCTTAATGTACTTAATGTGATTAATGTACTTAATGTACTTAATGTACTCAATGTACTCAATGTACTCAATGTACTCAATGTAATCAATGTACTCAATGTACTCAATGTACTCAATGTACTCAATGTACGTAATGTACTCAATGTACTCAATGTACGTAATGTACTCAATGTACTCAATGTACTCAATGTACTCAATGTACTCAATGTACTCAATGTACTCAATGTACTCAATGTACTCAATGTACTCAATGTACTCAATGTACTCAATGTACTCAATGTACTCAATGTACTCAATGTACTCAATGTACTCAATGTACCCAATGTACTCAATGTACTCAATGTACTTAATGTACTTAATGTACTCAATGTACTTAATGTACTCAATGTACTTAATAAACTTAATGTACTTAATGTACTTAATGTACTTAATGTACTTAATGTACTTAATGTATTTAATGTACTTAATGTACTTAATGTACTTAATGTACTTAATGTACTTAATGTACTTAATGTACTTAATGTACTTAATGTACTTAATGTACTTAATGTACTTAATGTACTTAATGTACTTAATGTACTTAATGTACTTAATGTACTTAATGTACTTAATGTACTTAATGTACTTAATGTACTTAATGTACTTTACAAATATTAATTTGTCCTGTTAAACTGACTCCCCTTCATAATTGTATCTCATGTTTTAATTGCCTCTATTTTCATTGCTCATCTACTTTTGCTGCATATTATTTAAGTCGTTCATTTCTGGCGTTATCATCTAACTTGATCGTTTTTATACTGCTTTATCTCTCAAAATGCCGTCATAAGCTCTCTTCTTTGTCTTAGCTAATCATTTCTTTGTTTATCTCGTACTTCAGTCATCTCTGCTGTGCCTGGAACTTCTCCGTCTTGTACTGCCACACAATCCATCTCAATGGTCTCAACTGGTGATGATCGGTAAATTCTTGAACCAGTGATTAGGGTTCCGAGTCTTTGGATAGGTAAGCTTATAAGGTTTGTTACTGTTTTATCATAGATTAGTGGGTTTATGACGGAGTTGATCGGTAAAACAATCATGGAAAACAGGCCATACCAGGGTGTTGCATTTAGAACCTCAAGGGAATGTAGAACACATATCACTATGAAGGGTACCCAGCAAATGAAATCTGTAGTGATAATGATGGCGATTCTTAAGTTCATTTTCCTATTGCGTTGTGAAATCTGTTGGTTCCCTCCTGACTGTGTCAAACTTTTAGAGGATTTGCGAGATATGATGCCAATGATCAAGTATGAGGCTGTAATGAAAAAGAAGCACACAAAGTTCAGGGCAAGAATTGCCCATACCAAGTGCCTCTGTGGATCATTTTCTTTGACAAAATATTTGAAGAGGCAAACACCATCGTTTCCATAGAAATTCACCTTTTGGATGTTTTTCGTGTAGTCTTCATAACCATTATCGTGAGAATACATCTCGGACATCATTTTGTTGATCATACGCCAGCTTAGTGTTGTTTCCTTCATTCTACCAAAGTATCCTTGAAAGACAGCAAATAGTGTCTGCTTGTTCATTGTTCCAATAAATACCTTTATCTCTTCTGCATACTTCATTCCATTGACAAAGAAATCCTCGAATTTGGAAATAATTGGGATTACAGCAATGACAATGGACGCCAACGTCATCATTAAAACACCTCCTGCAACTTGGAGTGATTTTACCAATGTAACTTCTCCCGGAATTCTCATGGAGTTGTGTATTCCGTAAATTCGGGTGAGGCTCAATGCACACATAGCAAAAAGCGAGACTTGAGATCCTATGGTGCTAAGAACTCCAATAGTTGAACATTGGATGCTGGTAATCCATCCGATCTGTTGGGTACAATATTCTTCCTTGAAGATTACACCATCATAAATTGATATGACCAATAAGTAGATACCAACTAAAAGGTCTCCAAACGATATCATCATGATGAGGGACTTATTAAACAGAGCTACGGTAGTTCTACAGTTCTTTAAGGTTCCAGTATTTTTGGATATGATGATAAAATTAGCCAGGACGGCTAGAAATCCTATAATCCATGATGAAAATTTGAGAGCATTCCCTTCTAGAATTTCTCTAGAACACTGATTATTGCATTCGTCTGTCAAATCCAGGCAGTCAAATGATCCGTCACATTTCTTTGTCACCGGTATGTAACAACCGTTACATTTGAAATTGTTTGTGCAGCTGTCCTCATCCGAACCATCCCCGCAATTATCGATGAGATTGCATACTTCGGAATAATCAATGCAAGTGATATTATTGTCACAGACGAAATATCTATTCGTATAAATATATCCATATGATTTTGTGACAAATGTTAGGAATTCGTTATTGGCTATCGTCCCTATTCTTTTATGATGTTGTCCTGGGCACGCCTCATATCTAGGAATATTTCTCAGTGGACAGGAAGAGTTGACACACTTTTCTGCACAACTAGTGTACAAATATTGTTCTCCAAATATGTGGTCACAATTTTGAGTAACATTTGGCATTATAACCGTTGTATTGGTTCCTCCGTAAACGTTTTCATTTGAAAATATAAACGTGCTAATCGTGAAGCAATGATTTTTGAAGTTTTTAGTGTTTTTTATCCCCTTTATGCAGTATGATAAATGCTTTATTAGGCTTTTGTCAGTTGTTAAAACAGTTGTGGACAGTTTCGGTTGTTTGCGGGACTCAGAGCAGATCTTATTTTCATTTCCACATGTTTCAACTCCATCACATAGTTTACTGAATTCCACATATCCAGGATCTCCCCATGGACAAAGGTACACATTTTCACACAACGTGTCTTTGCTGATAACATATCTTAATGATTTGGTGCTCCCACAAGTAGGCCAACTGTCATCTTCGTCGATTTCACTCAAACAGTCCTTAAACCCATCTCTTAACCAAGCTAGAGGTATTGGGAGTTCCCCTTTCTGGCCGCCACGTCTTTCACACTTTACCAGTGTCATGGTGATGCAGATACGATCAGTTTCATCACTTTTATCATTGCAGTCTGGTTGACCATCACACATTAAGTGCCTGTGAACAGTACACTGGCTAGAGGTTTGTATGCAATGATTCTCAAAGTTATCGTCACATATTGCCTTTTTACCAAAGCAGATCATTAGTTTTGATACAGAGGACAAGTATCCGTTAACAAGACATCTTACCCCTACTTTGGCGGGATCTTTACAGTTTGTTTGAAATGAAGCATAATCACTGCTGCTGCAGTAATCGCCACGAAAGTTAAAATGACCCATT